GCACCAGCCCCTTGTGGTTGGTGCGTTTCCCCTTTTGGCCCATACCCGGTACCCTCCGGAACACTTTCGGTGTCCGAATACTATCATCCTGTATATCAATTTTTACCTCTCGACCATTTCGAGACTCCTCTTCGTGTCTGTGATCTCCTTCGGGATTCCGAACAATATTCGGTCACCAAATCACATAACTCATATAATACAATATCGTAATCGAACATTAAGCATGCGGACCCTACGGGTTCGAGAACTATGTAGACATGACCGAGACACCTCTCGGTCAATAACCAATAGTGAAACATGGATGCTCATATTGGCTACTACATATTCTACGAAGATCTTTATCGGTCGAACCGTTATGACAACATACGTTATTCCCTTTGTCAGTCGGTATGTTACTTGCCCGAGATTCGATCGTCGGTATCTTCATGTCTAGTTCAATCTCGTTACCGGCAAGTCTCTTTACTCGTTCCGTAATACATTACCTCGTGACTAACTCCTTAGTCGTTTGCCTGCAAGCTTATGATGTGTATTACCGAGAGGGCCCAGAGATACCTCTCCGATACCCGGAGTGACAAATCCTAATCTCGATCTATGCCAACTCAACAAACACCTTCGGAGATACCTGTAGAGCATCTTTATAATCACCCAATTATGTTGTGACGTTTGATAACACAAAAGGCATTCCTCCGGTATCCGGGAGTTGCATAATCTCATAGTCGAAGGAATATGTAATTGACATGAAGAAAGCAATAGCAATAAAACTGAACGATCATAATGTTAAGCTAACGGACAGGTCTTGTCCATCACATCATTCTCCTAATGATGTGATCCCGTTATCAAATAACAACACATGTCGGTGGTTAGGAAACCTTAACCATCTTTGATCAACGAGCTAGTCTAGTAGAGGCTTACTAGGGACACGGCATTTGTTTATGTATTCACACATATATTTAAGTTTTTGATCAATACAATTCTAGCATGAATAATAAACATTTGTCATGAAATAAGGAAATATAAAATAACAACTTTATTATTGCCTCCAGGGCATATTTCCATAGCTTAAATCGTCGGTCCAGATAAGAACATTTCTTTTTTCTTAGTTGTTGTACAACGCACATGCCTACATAAACACACATACAATCACCCCTATGAAAATACACACCCCCTGCTTCTATGAGCACCTTCGAGGAGATTGTTATATTTGTGTCGAATATTATGTACCCAAGGGGTTACGTGGACTTGGAGTTGT